AGGGTTAGACTCGGGTTAGACTAGGGTTGGGGTTAGGCTAGCGTTAGGATTAGGAGTAGGGGTAGGCTAGGGTTAGGCTAGGGTTAGACTAAGGTTAGGAGTATGGTTAGACTAAGGTTAGGAGTAGGGTTAGGCTAAGGTTAGGAATAGGGTTAGACTAGGGTTAGGAGTAGGGTTAGGCTAGGGTTAGGAGCATGGTTAGACTAAGGTTAGGAGTAAGGTTAGGCTAGGGTTAGGAATAGAATAAGGCTAGGGTTAGGAGTAGGGTTAGACTAGGGTTAGGAGTAGGGTTAGACTAGGGTTAGGAGTAGGGTTAGACTAGGGTTAGGAGTATGGTTAGACTAAGGTTAGGAGTAAGGTTAGACTAGGGTTAGACTAGGGTTAGGAGTAGGGTTAGACTAGGGTTAGGAGTAGGGTTAGGCTCGGGTTGGGGTCTTGTTAACCGTTGACGGGCGGATGAGGAGGGATGAGGAGGGATGAGGAGGGATGAGGGGGTGAGAGAGATGAAGGAAGAATATTAACGACGCGCCGCGTCCTCGCGAGTGAATGCCGGCGCGAGGTCATTAACAATTAACAGGGGCACGGCGCGGGGGATGGGGGAGCGGTTTGATTTTAATGAGCGGTCCTTTTGAAGCCGCGAGCTTTGCTTTGAAGAGAGAAAGCGCCGAGGCGCCATTGATTCCGTGGCGGTGGGGTGGGGGTCGTAGGGGGGGGGGGCTGCCCCCGGTCCCCATTGCAGCAGCAGCGGGACACTGGGGGGCCTCATGGGCGAACACAGCCCGCGACTCGCGCGGCAAGGGGTTGAGGTGAGGTAATTTAGAGGGCAGTTGCGGGGGGGGGCTCTTAGCCCCCCCTCAGTGTGATAGCTCCGGGATAGGGGGACTGCCCCCCGCCCTCTCCGCGTTGCGTCACCGCGCGGTCACGTGACGCGCCCGCTGTGCTGCGTGACTTGCCACGTGCGAGGCGTGCTACGTCACGTGCGCTTCTATGACGCGTCCTATGTGATGCGTGCTCCGTGCAGTAATATGTGATGCATGCTGAGTGCGATGTGATGCGTGTTGTGTGCTTTGTGCCATGGGCTGTATGCAGGCTGTGTTCTGTATGCGTGCTATGTGCTGTGTGTGCGCCATGTGCAGTGTGCGAGCTGCATGCATGATGTGTGCTACGTGTTACGTGCTGTATGCTTTGTGTGTTATACGTCGTGTGCTGTGTACTGGGTTCCGTGAGAGACGACTGCGGGGCGAGACAATGGGGGGAGGTGGAAGAGAACTGAGAGAGAGCAGCAGAGAGCGGTGGGGGGGGGGGGCTGTTGATGAGCCCCCCTTGCCCCGAGTTCCTCTCCCTTGCCCCCCCCCCCCCGCGCCCCTCTCCCAGCGAGATGAAGGGGGCCGCGCAGCCCCGGGAGGGAGAGGGACCTCAAAAGGCGACGCGCACCCCCTCCAGCCAATGTGGCGATGTTCTGTGGGTCTCTCGGTAAAGTCACGGAGATAGATTAAAAGAAAATAACAAACAACTCGAGTTTTTTGTTATTTCTCTAGTTTTTTGTTATGAAAATGATTGCCTGCAGCCACGAAAGCTTGAGGTCAATGTGGTGATGATGATGATGTGGCTGTGATGATGTAATGGTTGTGGTGAGAATGTGGTTGTGATGCAATCACTCTAATGTCGATGCCAAGGGTTATGATACAGAACACGGTGGTTACTGGAGGTGATGGTGATTATGGCGATGGTCACGGTTACGATGATGTTCATGATGATGGTGATGACGTCGATGGTGATTCGCTGGATGCGATGTTTGATGTTCACGGTGGTGGTGACGACGATGGTGGTGCAAAGAGTTGTTTTACAGCGAGTGGGCTGCCCCCCCCCGTCACGTGATGATGAATGAGGCTGTGATGAGTCCAATTACCGCGGCCTCCCCACGTGGCCCGGGGGGGGGGGGCTGCGGTCACCACCGCGTGCCCGGCCCGAGCCCCACTCACCCGCCCCACTCACCCGCCCCACTCACCCGCCCCTGCCTCTCAACCAGCCCCACTCACCCGCCCCACTCACCCGCTCACTCACCCGCCCCTGCCTCTCAACCAGCGCCACTCACCCGCCCCACTCACCCGCCCACTCACCCGCCCCACTCACCCGCTCACTCACCCGCCCACTCACCCGCCCCACTCACCCGCCCCACTCACCCGCCCCTGCCTCTCAACCAGCGCCACTCACCCGCCCCACTCACCCGCCCCACTCACCCGCCCACTCACCCGCCCCACTCACCCGCCCCACTCACCCGCCCACTCACCCGCCCCACTCACCCGCCCCACTCACCCGCCCCACTCACCCGCCCCTGCCTCTCACCCAGCGCCACGGCTCGTCGCAGGGGGGAGACCTTCCTCCAGGAGCGGATTGACCATGGCTCATGATGATGTCGATCTTCTCATCTCTCTCCGCCGCGCGCGTTCTCTAAATCCACGTGCCCCTCTTCCTGGAGCTCGGTGCAGTCCGGCAGGCGCCACCTCTCCACGCCTGGGTGGGCGCTGCCCAGATCGTGCTCCACATTCGTGGGTTTCTGCTGGGACCGCGTCTCCGATCCGTGGCGGAGCAAATGCTCCGCGCAGAACTGCGTTTTGTGTTTAGTTTTCTGTCCTTACCCCGCCCCACCGATTAGCACGGGTGGCTACGTACGGCGCGAAAGAAGTTCAACATACTTATTAACCGCGGTTTTCACCGTCAAATAAAATAATAACAATTCCCCAAAACACATTTCTTTTCTCCAAGCTCTTGAAATAACCTTGAGCAATTCAAGAAACATGTTTCCTCATCTGCAACATATCTGATGGTGCTGTTTGTTGCTGGCCGCTTCACGTTTTGGGTCTCTGGGCCCTGCGCCAATCCTGGGGCGCCCCCTGGCGGTTAGCGTTGGGACCACGCGTGCGCCTCTTCCCAGAAGACTCTACCCACACAGGAAGACTCTACCCCCACAGGAAGACTCTACCATCACAGGAAGATTCTACCATCACAGGACGACTCTACCATCACAGGAAGACTCTACCGCCACTGGAAGACTCTACCCCCACAGGAAGACGCTACCAACACAGGAAGAGTCTACCATAACAGGAAGATTCTACCATCACAGGAAGAGTCTACCATCATAGGAAGACTCTACCATCACAGGAAGATTCTACCATAACAGGAAGACTCTACCATAACAGGAAGACTCTACCATAACAGGAAGACTCTACCATCACAGGAAGACTCTACCATCACAGGAAGACTCTACCATCACAGGAAGAGTCTACCATTACAGGAAGACTCTACCATCACAGGAAGATTCTACCATAACAGGAAGACTCTACCATAACAGGAAGACTCTACCATAACAGGAAGACTCTACCATAACAGGAAGACTCTACCATCACAGGAAGACTCTACCATCACAGGAAGACTCTACCATGACAGAAAGACTCTACCATCACAGGAAGACTCTACCATCACAGGAAGACTCTACCATCACAGGAAGACTCTACCATCACAGGAAGACTCTACCATCACAGGAAGACTCTACCTCCACAGGAAGACTCTACCATTACAGGAAGACTCTACCATCACAGGAAGACTCTACCATAACAGGAAGACTCTACCATCACAGGAAGACTCTACCATCACAGGAAGACTCTACCATCACAGGAAGACTCTACCATCACAGGAAGACTCTACCATCACAGGAAGACTCTACCATCACAGGAAGACTCTACCTCCACAGGAAGACTCTACCATTACAGGAAGACTCTACCATCACAGGAAGACTCTACCATAACAGGAAGACTCTACCATCACAGGAAGACTCTACCATCACAGGAAGACTCTACCATCACAGGAAGACTCTACCATCACAGGAAGACTCTACCATCACAGGAAGATCGCTTCCCTGGTTTCCCGCGTGGAGAGCGACGCTGCCATTGCGAACCGCGACTGTACGGGGTCACGTGATGTACGCAAAGGACTCACGCGTGTGTAGTAGGTGTGTGAGTAGTAGGTGTGTGTGTAGTAGGTGTGTGTGTAGTAGGTGTGTGTGTGTAGTAGGTGTGTGTGTAGTAGGTGTGTGTGTGTAGTAGGTGTGTGAGTAGTAGGTGTGTGTGAGTAGTAGGTGTGTGTGAGTAGTAGGTGTGTGTGTGAGTAGTAGGAGTGTGTGTGTGTAGTAGGTGTGTGAGTAGTAGGTGTGTGTGTGTAGTAGGTGTGTGTGTGTGTAGGTGTGTGTGTAGTAGGTGTGTGTGAGTAGTAGGTGTGTGTGTAGTAGGTGTGTGTGTGTAGTAGGTGTGTGAGTAGTAGGTGTGTGTTAGTAGTAGGAGTGTGTGAGTAGTAGGTGTGTGTGTGTAGTAGGTGTGTGTGAGTAGTAGGTGTGTGTGAGTAGTAGGTGTGTGTGTGTAGTAGGTGTGTGTGAGTAGTAGGTGTGTGTGTGTAGTAGGTGTGTGTGAGTAGTAGGTGTGTATGTAGTAGGTGTGTGTGTGTAGTAGGTGTGTGTGTGTAGTAGGTGTGTGTGTAGTAGGTGTGTGTGTGTAGTAGGTGTGTGTGTAGTAGGTGTGTGTGTGTGTAGTAGGTGTGTGAGTAGTAGGTGTGTGTGTGTAGTAGGTGTGTGTGAGTAGTAGGTGTGTGTGTGTAGTAGGTGTGTGTGTGTAGTAGGTGTGTGTGTGTAGTAGGTGTGTGTGTAGTAGGTGTGTGTGTGTAGTAGGTGTGTGAGTAGTAGGTGTGTGTGTGTAGTAGGTGTGTGTGTGAGTAGTAGGAGTGTGTGTGTGTAGTAGGTGTGTGTGAGTAGTAGGTGTGTGTGTGTAGTAGGTGTGTGTGAGTAGTAGGTGTGTGTCAAGTAGGTGTGTGAGTAGTAGGTGTGTGTGAGTAGTAGGTGTGTGTCAAGTAGGTGTGTGAGTAGTAGGTGTGTGTGTGTAGTAGGTGTGTGTGAGTAGTAGGTGTGTGTGTGTAGTAGGTGTGTGTGTGTAGTAGGTGTGTGTGTAGTAGGTGTGTGTGTGTAGTAGGTGTGTGAGTAGTAGGTGTGTGTGTGTAGTAGGTGTGTGTGTGAGTAGTAGGAGTGTGTGTGTGTAGTAGGTGTGTGTGAGTAGTAGGTGTGTGTCAAGTAGGTGTGTGAGTAGTAGGTGTGTGTGTAGTAGGTGTGTGTGAGTAGTAGGTGTGTGTCAAGTAGGTGTGTGTGAGTAGTAGGTGTGTGTGTGTAGTAGGTGTGTGTGTGTGTAGTAGTAGGTGTGTGTGTGTGTAGCAGGTGTGTGTAGTAGGTGTGTGTGTGTAGTAGGTGTGTGTGTTGTAGGTGTGTGTGTGTAGTCGGTGTGTGTGAGTAGTAGGTGTAGTAGGTGTGTGTGAGTAGTAGGAGTGTGTGTGGTAGGTGTGTGTGTGTAGTAGGTGTGTGTGTAGTAGTAGGTGTGTGTGTAGTAGTAGGTGTGTGTACGGTAGGGGGCACTGGTTGCGCATCAGCCAGTCATCTCGGTCAACTGGGTCTGCCCCGTGACCTCCTGCCAGCGGGCGTTCGACACTTCACGTGGCCTCAAGGTGCACATGGCCTGGCACAAGCGTCGTGGTGACGTCACCGCCACTTAGTGGCGAATAGCGGTTGTTGTTGTTGTAGGTGTGTGTGTAGTAGTAGGTGTGCGCACATAGCCTGGCACAAGCGCCGCGTGGTGGTCACCTCACCACCACTTAGTGGCGAATGGCCATTGTGTGTCGCTGTACACGTGTGTCACTGTGTGTGTCGCTGTGCACGTGTGTCACTGTGTGTGTCGCTGTGTGTGTCTGTGTTGTATGGCTATAGAACCGTGAAAGCGTCAGACGAGGAGGGCACCGCGGTGCCGGGGCTCACGATCGTGACTTGTTTTGATTGCACGCCAGGCGCCTCATCTCGACTCGTCAGAGAGCACCCCCAGTGGCAGCTCTCCCTGTGGGATCGAGGTGACTCGGCACCTGGTCTGTAAAGGGGCATCAGTCTGCCAGTAGGGGGCGCTGCTTGCTGCTGCTGCTTGCCGCTGTGGGATCCCAGTTGAGTGATTTGCGGTGTAATTTTCGACTTTGGAAAATTGTGACCGTGACGCTGGCACACGAGGTGGCGTATCTCTTGCGAATGACACTGACTGATCTTAATCGCCCACTGTAATATCACGGTGAATGCACCCACCGCAGTAATGACCATGGCGGCCGCAGGAGTCGAACCCTGAGCCTCTGCAACGAGACTGCTCCTCGCACGCCGAGAGGAGCTGGAGTTGAAGGACGTTGGCATCGACAGCACTGACCATGATGACTTCTTGACCTTGAGTGCGTGTTGTGTAGACATGCTGGGTACATTTAGACGTACAACTTTCGTGACTGCAGGAATTCATATTCTTGGTTCTTTCGGTAAAGTCGCGTAGATAGAAAACTAACATTTAAATCACGAAGCCCACGACGACGTTTCCATCTCCACCTGATTGTGTTGCGGTCGGAACGTCGTGGGGTTTTTGCTTTTAATTGAAATTTTTGTTTTCTGTCGGCGTGACTTTACCGAAAGAACCAAGAATATGTTGTGTACATGTGTTATGCACGTGTCGGCGTGTGTACGTTTGTCGTGGTGAACGCGTTGTGCCACTGTGTGTTGCAGCGCGTGTCGTGGGTCCGGGGCTGTGAGTGGCACCTGCCCACTGGACTCCTGAAAATACGCAGAGGAGACGAGGAGGAGGAGACGGGGATGATGGATGAAGAGCCAGCCCCCACGTCAGTGTCACGAGTCTTGGTTGGGGGGGGGGGTCACACAGCGTGAAATCATCCGTCCACATCGGTCTGATTAAACAATCGTGCGGTTCTGTGTCACTACACTGCTTCATGGAGGATTCTGCAGTCTCCGTCTTACCATGCAGCAGTCCGCCTAACTGCTGCGCACGAGACGATCTCATCGCTCCATCTTAGCAGTGAACGTTCTCTCGGGCACGTTCCCACCTTTGGCTACCACTCCATCATGAGTCTCGGCCACTGGCCGTCGTCCCTTCTACCCACGACACATTCTGCCCAATCCCCAATCACTTCTCTTCACAGTCACCTCGATGTTTTGACGTGCGTGTGTGTCCTCCAAACCGCGTGTTCCCTTCCCGTCTCTTTTTTTTGCCCATTCTTCAGGTCGTGTTCCGTTTTTTTTTCTCGGTGTCCATGTTTGTGATCCAGCTGTCGTTACTGCTCTGATTGAAACCCCTCCTGTTGGTGCATACTGCTGCGCTGCGTTTGTGCATACTGCTGCGCTGTTGTCGAGTTCGACCTCTCTGCCTTATTTTCTCGTGGTGCTGGCCTGCTTTCACGCGCACACGGCAGGTTACCACCATCGCATTAAGCGAGCGAGCCTGACTGCTGATGAGACAATGAAAGTCGAAACCGATTGCCTGCCGGCGGTGAGAGGGCGAGGGATTGGGGACTAATGGGAGCTGTGCTGTGTGTCCCTGCAGCGCGTCACCTGCCGGCTCGATCCGCGCCATCGATCGCGGCACCGTCCACCAGATCTGCTCGGGGCAGGTGGTGCTCACCCTCGCCACGGCCGTTAAGGAGCTGGTGGAGAACAGCCTGGATGCCGGTGCCACCTCCATCGGTGAGCGGCTCCCGCGGGAGGGTATCCAACTTCAGGGGCGCATGCTCCTGCTGGGCGCCGACCACAGCCTCATTGATTAGTTGGCTGTGGAGCTCGCCGATTGGTTGAGTGTGGAGCGCGCTGATTGGCTGGCCTGTGCGTGGTGTACGTCCTCTGTAGAGGTGCGCCTCAAGGAGCATGGAGCGGAGGTGGTGGAGGTGAGTGACAACGGCTCTGGGGTGGACGAGGACAACTTCCAGGGACTGAGTACGGCACTCCCTCACCCACTTGCGCACCGTGCTCACCCTCTCGCTCACCATGTTCACCTGCCCATCCCAACGTGCTTACCCGCTCGCTCACCGTCCGCGTGGGCTACCCGGGGGACCTGTGTGTGTGCCGCGTGCAGCGTTGAAGCACCACACCTCCAAGCTGCAGGTCTTCTCGGATCTCGCCTCGGTTGAGACGTTCGGCTTCCGTGGCGAGGCGCTCAGCTCGCTGTGTGCACTCAGGTGCGCTCGTGTGTAGGCGCTTGTGTGTCTTTGTATGTACGTATGTTGAACTTCTTTTGCACCGTACGTAGCCAACCATGCTAATCAGTGGTGCAGGGAGTGGGAGTACAGCGGTTAGCACACTGCGCTACAAACCTGATGAAACGAATTTGTTTTACAATCACAGTCCAACAATAGTGACGATTATTTGAACCAGTCCTGGGCCTCCCATAGGTTGATTCAGGGTTAAATGGGACTTGACTTGACTGGTACGAGCAAGCGGTGTCGCAATCGACCTGTGCAGAGGAGGCTCTCGTGATGGACGCTACGCGACAATTGGAGGCAATCTCCTTCCAACCCGAGTTGGATTCCTTGCACAAACCAATGAGCGCCACAGACACCAGTGGAAAGCGGACAAGCGGCGCTAACAGCAATGAGCGGAATGCAAATGGGGAGCACGGGTGGTGCATCTGCCGGTCATCTCAGTCAACGAAAAACACCTGGATTTGTACCGTAACCTCCATCTAGAGAGGCTTCCACACATCGCGTGATGGCCTTAAAGTGCACCTAGCCTGGCACAAGTGCCGTGGTGATGTCCCCACCACTTAGTGGTGACTGGTGACTGTTGTTACTGCGGTTGAGTGCGTTTCTGTGTGTGTGGCACACGCGTTGCATGATCTCACTCCTCTGTGCCCCTGGCCCCCGCGGGGAGCAGTGAGCTGAGCGTGGTGACGTGTGCGCGTGCTGCGAGCGTGGGCACTCGCCTCGTGTTCGACCGGGAGGGGCACGTGGCACAGCGCTGTGCAGTGGCGCGTACGCCCGGCACCACCGTGACGCTGGCACACCTCTTCTCCTGCCTGCCCGTCCGTCACAAGGAGTTCCTGCGCTCCCTCAAGAAGGTGCCACCACCCCTTCCCGGCCCCCCCCCCATGCCGCTTCCCCAACATCACGTGGTCCTGACCACGGCACCCCCTCGGGTTTGCCGTGCCGGCCTTAACGGGCGCTCGCTAGCAGCACTCGCCCTGACAGCCTGTATACAGGGGACCTTTGTTTGCGTGTGGGACTTGTGCAGGAGTTTTCCAAGATGGTGCACGTGCTGCAGGCGTACTGCGTCATGGCGGCCGGGGTGCGCATCGCCTGCTCCAACCAGAGTGGCGCTGGAGGCAAGCGCAGCGTCGTGCTCGCCACGGCGGGAGCTCCCACCGTGCGGGAGAACATCGCCGCCGTGTTCGGTGCCAAGCAGGTGCTCCCTCCCTCCCTCGCTCAGTGGTCCTCTGTGTAACGGCGTTGCCAGTAGCATCCTGGCAGTAATCTCACCAGCTGGCTACTCTCCACCACTGCCCAGGGTCACGGTCATGGCGCTTGTGACTGTGTGTTCTGTCGCTGCTGCTGCTGCTGCTGCTGCTTTCACAGCTGCAGACGCTGCTGCCGCTGCAGCAGAGCACACCCAGCCCCGAGCTGTACGAGGAGTTCGGCCTCCACACCGGGGAGCTTGCCACCACATTCCAGTGAGCACCACTCACCAGAAACACTCTCTAGCAGCACTCACAATCACTACTCACTCGCGCCACTCATCAGTGCTACAAAACAACAACAGCAGCCGCAGCAATAGCTATTTGTGTGTGTTGAGCATCCAAGTTCAATTGCATCTCGTTCCGTGTCAGTAGCGCTGTGCAGCCTTAAAAAGTAAAATGCACAATAGGTGACGTTTCAGGAAATGGCCCTTCTTCACGGCAGAGAGAAGGGCCATTGCCTGAAACGTCGCCTATTGAGTGTTTTCCGTTGAAGGCCACACACACACTCGGTGTTGTTGTTAAGCACAGAACAAGTTGATATTTGTGTTGATTGTACTGTCAATGCAGCAGCAGTGTCACCCAACACAATGCCACGTTAAGAGGCTTCAGAAAAAGAACAAATGGAGACGATGGTAGCAGAGGAGATCAGTGCGGGGACACGGGGGAGAGAGAGAGGGAGGCTGCCTGGGGGTTGAATAGTGGTGGCCAATCGTGAGCAGCGGTGGTGGTACCGGTGGGTGGTGAGCGGCGGGGGTGGTTCCTGTGGGTGGTAAGTGGCGGTGGTGGTACCTGTGGGTGGTGAGTGGCGGTGGTGGTACCGGTGGGTGGTGAGCAGCGGGGGTGGTACCGGTGGGTGGTGGTGGTACCTGTGGGTGGTGAATGGCGGTAGTCACTGTGGTGATTGCGCAGGCTGAGCGGGTTTGTGTCGCGGTGCGATCACGGTGCCGGGAGGAGCTCCGCTGACCGGCAATTCCTCTTCGTGAACGGGCGACCCTGCGACCTGGCCAAGGTCATTCCCCTCCCACGATGCACGCTTTGTAAACACGGCACACACAGCACACACTTCACACGCTTCACACGCAGCACACACAGCACACAATTCACACGCTTCACACGCAGCACACACAGCACACAATTCACACGCTTCACACGCAGCACACACAGGATACGCAGCAGCCCTGGCACGCGCGGCACACAGGGTGACGCTGTGTTCATATACATGTGCGCACAGGTGAGCAAGCTGGTGAACGAGGTGTACCACTCGTACAACCGCCACCAGTACCCCTTCCTCGTTCTCAACATCGTCTCCTCAACCGGTGAGGGCACGTAGTTGCGCGTACTCCGTTTGGTCGCTCGCAGGGACACGGTGATCAGGGACGCAAACGCCCCCTTTGCCCTGTACCAAGCACTTTGTAGGGAGCGGTGGTGCAGCCAACACCAGGGAAGATTTTCTGAACTGGTCCTGGGCCTCCCCTCAGTCAATTCGGCACCGGGTGACCCATGTTCGTGTGCGTGCGCGCAGACCTAGTGGACGTGAACGTGACGCCCGACAAGAGGCTCGTCCTGCTGCAAGAGGAGCGCCTGCTCCTGGCTGTCGTCAAGGCGACGCTCACGAGCCTCTACGAGCCCACGCTAAATCAGCTGCCCATCAACACAACCCCCCGCCCGGGGCGCCCGGGTGAGGAACCCCTGCACGGAGTGGGGGGAAGAACCACACAGAGTCGTAGGGCTTTTTTCAAGAGGGTCCTACATTCGGTTTTTATTTTAAGATGTCTACAAGTGGGAGGAAACCAGAGCACCCAGAGAAAACCCATACCTGCAACGGAGCGTCACTGTATCCCCGTACAGATGGAAACAGATGATGATTAGTTCACTTGCTGTGCTGCCTTCTGAGGAGTTAGGGTATGGCACCTTGCTGCCCATGCGAAAGGCGTTTCACAATATTTGTGTGGTGATCCACTAACCCTCGCTGCTGCCTCCACAGCACTGGATCACGAGCATGTACCACCACTGCCCCTTAACCCCACTCCTCGGGACCCCCTCCCCTGGCACCCCCCAGCCGGGACCGGCATTTGCTAACCGGCCAGGCGTGTTGTTGTGCCTGCGCTTGCAGTCTCCAGTGCCCCGCGTTCCACGGGAGGAGGGCCCGATAGGCCCCCGAAGGCCCCCGACGCTGGCAAGGCCCGAGCATTCTCCGGCCTGGGCAGGGCCTTCGGCTTTCGGCCATCGCTGGGATTTGGGCGCGGCTCCAGTGATGCGGCCCAGCCCTCGCCGACCAGCCCCGAGGATTGTGGGAGTTTCTCCCAGGATTGTGGGAAGGAAGCACCGGGGGACGGCTCACAGAGCGACGCAGGAGCGCAGGAGGAGGAGGAGGCTGCTGCCGAGGGTTCGGTCGACGACGGTTCTGCTCCTCTGTTGCGGTGCGATTCTCCCCGTGTTGGCGGGTGCGGTGAGGTTGGAGGTGCCGCACGCGGTGAGGACCAGTGTTTGGGGGCAGTGTCGGTGGAAAAGGTGGTGAAGGAGGTGCGAGGGGGCAGCCCAAGAATCCCGTCTGTGCCGGCGCCCACCTCCGTCGGCCTCGGGGTCCTGGATCGCTTCCACCGCGAGCCGTGCCGAACCCAGCGGCCCGGCTCCGTGGTGTCGGTGCCGCTCAGCTCCGGGACGCCCAAGCGGCGCAGGGACATGGCGACTGTGCAGCTCGGCGGGCCCGCTGGGCGCAATCGCAAGGTCCGCATGGAGGAGGAGGCAGAGGAGGCCACCGCGCAAGGTGCCGCCGCGTCCCAATGGCTGCACGTCACCACGTCACCACGTCACCACGTCACCACGTCACCACGTCGTGTGTCTCCGTGCGCGTGTTCACCATATGTTTAAGCGTGCGTGATGCATGTCGTGCGTGCCATTTGTCGTGCGTGGGACATGTCGCGCGTGCTGTGTGTCCCATACAGCGGAGGGGCCCGGTTGCACGGTGGAAGCGGCGCTCACGGCGCCGGCGGACGGGGCCTGTACGGTGGACGTCGCCATGCGGGTGGTGCGCCGGGAGGTGCCGGTGCCGTTCTCGCTCACGCGGCTCCGGGCGCGGGCGCGCCGCGCCATAGGGGGCACGGACTCCCCCACGGGGGCCGTGGACCCCCCCGGGGGGTGCAGGTTCCGCGCCAAGATCAGCCCCTCCGACAATCGCGCGGCCGAGGAGGAACTCCAAAAGAAGTTCCAGTGAGAGCCACGACGGCAAAATGCAACAAAACACCACGGGGCGCATGTGTGTGTGTGCGCGTCACACACACACGGTAGTGGAGCGGTTAGCGTGCTGCACTTCAAATCTGGCGACTTGGGTTCGATTCCCGCTCACGGCCAACACCAGTAACGATTATCAGAACCGGTCCTGGGCATCCTCTCGGTCGACTCAAAATGAGTACCTGGTGCGATGTGTAAACATTGCCACTAGGGAGACAAAGGCGGCCGGGCGTGGTGTTGGCCACCCACCCCCTCGTGTGCCGTCCGGGCCTTCATAAGTGCTCGCTAACAGCACTTGCCCCAACAGTCTGTTACAGGCTATACGGGGGATCTTTTTTTTGTGTGCGCATCAGTAAGCGCGTGTGTCTGTGTGCATGGGTCAGTAAGCACATGTTCGCGCACATGGAGGTCGTGGGCCAGTTCAACCTGGGCTTTGTGGTGGCGCGCCTGGGCCCCGACCTCTTCATCGTGGACCAGCACGCGTCGGACGAGAAGTACAACTATGAGACGCTACGCCGGGACAGTGCCACTCTGCATGGACAGCGTCTCATTGCGTGAGTACCGCACGCACGAACCCCATGCGCGTGCACGAGCAGGGCTTACGGTGTGTCTGCGTTGATTTTGTGTAACCAGGGGCAAACTCAAGAGAGCGGTGTAGGAGTCTCATTTGTAAGAGTGACCTGGGTCACCAAAATATAAAAGCAAAACAAAGTGCAGCAATGAAGCAAATAGAAATCGGCACAAAAACAACCAAATAGGATGGGTGTGGTGTGTGTGATGCATCAGAAATGCAAACGAGCAGCACTCTGGGGTGTCAAACTAATTCCCCAAACACAGATTTCACTTTTAATGTGTATGTGCGCACATATATATGTGCACGTGTGTGCATGCATGCGTCTGGTCTGTATGTCTCTGCGTGGCCGTGCTCGCGTTTAAGCGTGGCCGTGTGTGTTTGTCTCTAGGCCCCTGAAGTTGCCTCTCACGGCCGTGGGGGAGCTCGTTCTCATGGAGAACCTCGACATCTTCAGGAAAAACGGGTTCGACTTCATAATCGACGAGCAAGGTACCCCGCCCCACCGCACACCGCTGCCGCCCTACAACCCTCACCCCACTGTACGTAATTCGGCAAACATCAAACGCGTGACGTCCTCGGTGCCGTCGGTGACTCCGCGAGTTGCCGTTGTTGCCGTCGCAGCCCCAGCGACGGAGCGCGTGCGCCTCACCACACTGCCCGTGCAGCGCGGCTGGATGTTCGGCGTGAGCGACGTGGAGGAGCTCGTTTTCCTGCTGAGCGACCGCCCCGGCGTCATGTGTCGGCCATCGCGCGTGCAGCAGATGCTCGCCTCCAAGGCGTGCCGCAAGTCGGTGAGGAGCCGCGCCTCTGCCGTGTCTCGGTCCTCTCGTTCTTTTTCTAATTGTATAATCACTTGTTTATCTACACTGAGTCCGAGGACTCTTCCTTCAGGAGGGTCCTGCAATGGGTTTTTATTTTAAGATGTTTTCAGTCATTGAGTGTTTATCATAGAAGTGGGAGGAAACTGGAGCACCTGGAGAATTTAGCCATGACTTTCGCAACTCAGTATCCGCTTCTGGACCGGTGACCGGTGTTTGCTCGTGTGTGTCAGGTGATGATCGGCACGGCGCTCAACGCTACTGAGATGCGGCGGTTGCTGCTACACATGGGAGAGATGGAGCAGCCGTGGAGCTGCCCGCACGGCCGGCCCACCATGCGCCACCTCATCAACCTTGACCTCCTGACGGGGCCCGGCGGCCGCGACGGTCCGCAGCTACAGCAGCAGCAGCGTCGTCATCATCAGCACGCAGCAGCAGCATCAGCAGTAGGACCATCAGACGGGCAGGAAAACGCAGATATCTGAGCCAGCACAGTGATGTTGATTGTGGTGCCTGGACAGAGAGACTCGAGGTCCTAATGCTGCACTGGGCCAGTGGCCGCCGACTCGGGGCCGTGGAACGACCGGTGAAGGTTCCTCGAGGCCCGCACAAAGTGGATTGCGGAACTGAGCCAGATGCTACGATTATTTGAAACAAAATGGCGGATTCTATCACTCGATACAGAATATTAGTTCGCGTCCCGTGGAGAATGTCAGTCACAATATGAACAAGCAGACGATCCACATCCTTCCCATGACGTGCATTTATATTCGTGTGTAGCGGTGGATCTTACTCCATGGCGCTCCGCAGTTTAGAGGTTGTGTTAGGTAACGGGTTAGAGGAAGTGTTGAGGATAGAGTTGGACTCAGAGATAGTGTTAAGGCTAGGGGGTTAGGGATAGGTTTGGGCATGGCTATGATCAAGGACAGTGTTGGGGTTCGGGATAGTGGTGGAGAATTTGGAGCACGGGTTCCTAGCGATGGAGGAACAGAAAAGTGCAAAATGAGTTTTAATCAACGCGAGTTATAAGGGGGTGAGGGGCTCCAGGTGAAGGGCTGGGACTGGGAAACGGTTCGAGGTGGCACTGCTCACTGACCATGTGCAGAGAACACGAATAATTTTCGTGCTCACGTTGGTGTTTATGCGGTTCATTGTGTTACTGTTGTGTTGGCTACGATTTGTGGATCTCACGTTGACCATACGTTGACGTGTGGCCAGTTGCACAAAACATTTTAAACGTGCCGTTTATATCGACTTAGTTTGGAAACTGCCAATTATTTTCCAGTGAGTTGTTTCTGTGTGACCAGAGCTGGCTGACATGAAACGGTTTGTTTACACCAAGTGACTCGACAGCCTGGGACCAACCACAAGTTTTGACCCAGTGGTAGGGTTGCCACCTTGTACACGGAGCAAACCCCAACACGTGGCGCAGTCAGCCTAGGTCTATATCAGAACCACTGTGCAGTCCACTGTAATAAAGTTCAAGAGTCACCAGCTCCAGATCTCGGTTCCAATTCAATCCCTGCCCCCCCTACCCCCGAAGACAGCAGACATCGATTCCTGAAGTGTACCGAGTCCAACCCGGATGGGTGGTGACCTCAGCTATGTGACTGCACAAGGCGCTCAGGGGAACTAATCCAGAAGCTGAGGCTAGGGTTGGTGAATCATGGAAGGTCAGGAGTCTTGCTGCCTGAATGAGTGTCTCCTGACTCTCACGGGACTTCTCCAGGCACTCCCCGTACCTCTCCCCCTGGAGGTGGAGGAGTTGACAGGTCAACACGCTGCCGTAGAATTTGTGACGTACCACAGTCTTCTCACGGAGACACGGGAAACCACAGACAAGCAGGAAGGCAGAACAGGCGCCAACAATTGCCCAAGCTCTCGTCCAGTTTTGGGAAATGTGGCCATCTTCATTAATAAGTGCGATATAGGCTGGTGAACAGAGTGGAACAACGTGGACGTCCAGTATAAATACCTCATTTGAGATCCAAACATCGCACCTCAACGGTTTGACATTCCTCCTTACAGGCTGATGCTGCACCACATCTCCATAAATGATAAATGTAAGACAAGCTACAGTCATGTCATTGTTGCCATGCAACCCAAACTATGAAACTTCGAGTAAACCCACAGAGATATATTAGAGACTAGCGGGAAGTACCCGGTGTTGCCCGGGCGAAAAAGACACACATCGACTTACACTCACATAGACATCAACCCACACACACAAACACATCGACTTACACTCACATAGACATCAACCCACACACACAAACACATCGACTTACACGCACACATGGACTCACACATGGACTTACACACACACATAGACTTACACAACAACAACCGCAATTCGCCACTAAGTGGCAGTGACGACGCTTGTGCCAGGCCATGTGCACCTTGAGGCCACGTGAAGTGTCGAACACCCGCTGGCAGGAGGTCACGGGGCAGACCCAGGTGCCACGGGTCGACTGAGATGACCGAGATCACTGGCTGATGCACCACCTGTGCCCCTTACTGTGCCAACTTGCTGTGCTTTAGCCACCCGACGCTCCGCTCATTGTTGTGAGCGTCGCTCCTCCCCCCTCCATTGTTGTTGGAGGGCGACTGCTTGCAACTGCTCAGTAGCGTCATTCACGAGCCTCCACAGAGGCCGATCTTGACACCGCTGGTACCAGTCATCGGCAAGTCCACTCAGCTCCACATCCTCCTGTACCACATCACTCCATCTCTTCTCAACACACATCGACTCACACACATACATAGACTCGCACACACATCGACCTACACACACCGACTTAAACACACATTGACTAACGCATACATCGACCGACACAGCGACTCACACACATTGACTTACACACACATCGACGTACACATAGTGACTTACACACATCAACTTACAAACACATCGACTCACACAGATTGACTTACAAACACATCGACTCACACAGATTGACTTACACACACATCGACTCACACACACACCGACTTACACAGCGACTCACACACACATCGACTTGCAAACACAGCGACTCACACACACATCGACTTAGACGCACAAACATATATTTTTTCACTGACACATCGACACACATGGACATACACGCATGCAAAGAAATGGACTTACACACTCACATGGACCCCACACACACATCGACTAGCACACACATCGTCTCACACACACATCGACTCAATCCACACCCCCCGAACAGCATGCATGGAGACAATCCAGAGACTGCACAGTTACTGCTGCAGAACGGGCGAAGGAAACACTTCTTTCCTACTAGGATTATGTTTGTGACACGGACCGCGTTGAGTGTCTGTGCATCGCCAGATCATTGCCCATCACCAAGGGGCGTGGGACACTGAGCGGCCTCTCGCGGCTGCAAGGGTCGCCGTGGGAGAGCGATTCCACTCGTGACAGCCGGAATCGACGTAATCGATATATGTACCGGGGAATCGATGAGTGGAATCGGCGCTGTGGCCTGGATACGAATCGGTGGGGCGGGGGGCAAAGGAGACGTCAGCGCGGCCTGGGGAGCCTCGAGCGCAACCACCACAACAACCACCACCACCACCACCAGCAGGGTCACCCACAACTATCACCACAGTCTCAATCATCTCAACCAATACCACAGTCGCGACAGCCACAGCCTCGACCACTGGAGCCACCGCCGCCGTCGCCGGCGCTGCGCGTCTGTGAGAGGCGCCGCCCCGGAACGTCGCCCCGGGCGATGCGGCGCTACACGGCGCGGGCTTAACCCCGCGGGGAGCCGGGGGAGCAGGAGGCCCGCCCGGGCACAGCGATCCCGGCCCCAACTCGCCCGGCCCGGCCCAGGCCTCGGCTCCCATCCGCGGGCCGCGCGGGCCCCGCGATGCCGGGAGGGACGCGGCTCGGGGCGGCGCGGCCCGGGCCCCGCTGCTGAGGGAGCCCGGGGCCCGAGGCGCGGGCAGTGGGGACACAGCGACGGGGTAAAGAGGGGGTGTGGGACACAGAGGGTGTAGAGAGGGGGTAGGGGAGAGAGGGGGTAGAGAGGGGGTGTGGGACACAGACGGGGTAGAGAGGGGGTAGAGAGGGGGTGTGGGACACAGAGGGGGTAGAGAGGGGGTAGGGGAGAGAGGGGGTAGAGAGGGGGTGTGGGACACAGACGGGGTAGAGAGGGGGTAGAGAGGGGGTGTGGGACACAGAGGGGGTAGAGAGGGGGTAGGGGACACAGGGGGTAGAGAGGGGGTAGGGGACACAGAGGGGGTAGAGAGGGGGTAGGGGACACAGAGGGGGTAGAGAGGGGGTAGGGGAGAGAGGGGGTAGAGAGGGGGTGTGGGACACAGGGGGTAGAGAGGGGGTGTGGGACACAGACGGGGTAGAGAGGGGGTAGGGGACACAGGGGGTAGGGGAGAGAGGGGGTAGAGACGGGGTGTGGGACACAGAGGGGGTAGAGAGGGGGTGTGGGACACAGAGGGGGTAGAGAGGGGGTGTGGGACACAGACGGGGTAGAGAGGGGGTAGGGGAGAGAGGGGGTAGAGAGGGGGTGTGGGACACAGAGGGGGTAGAGGGGGGGTAGGGGACACAGGGGGTAGGGGACACAGAGGGGGTAGAGAGGGGGTGTGGGACACAGAGGGGGTAGAGAGGGTGTAGGCGACACAGGGGGTAGGGGACACAGAGGGGGTAGAGAGGGGGTAGGGGACACAGAGGGGGTAGAGAGGGGATAGGGGACACAGAGGGGGTAGAGAGGGGGTAGGGGACACAGAGGGGGTAGGTGACACAGAGGGGGTAGAGAGGGTGTAGGGGACACAGACGGGGTAGAGAGGGGGTAGGGGACACAGAGGGGGTGTGGGACACAGACGGGGTAGAGAGGGGGTAGGGAACAGAGGGGGTAGAGAGGGGATGTGGGACACAGAGGGGGTAGAGAGGGGTAGGGGACACAGAGGGGGTAGAGAGGGGATAGGGGACACAGCGACGGGGTAAAGAGGGGATGTGGGACACAGGGGGTAGAGAGGGTGTAGGCGACACAGGGGGTAGGGGACACAGAGGGGGTAGGGGATGAAGAGGATTGGGGTCAGAGAAGGGGTAGAGCTCTAGGAAAGGGTTGGCATCTATGTACTTTGCGTTTGTTGAAATTATTTTGCACCGTGTGTAGCCGGAGGTGCAATCGATGGTTTGTGTTGAAGCTCGGCATGCGGGGGGAGAGGGGTGTAGTTTAGGTATAGTTAGGGCGGATCAGGGATGGGGAGAGATAGGTGTAAGGGTTGGGGTTATTAGCAGACGGATAGGCGTAGGGGGAGCACGAGAATTGGGGTAGTGTGTAGGGTTGTGGATAGACAATCTTGGGGTGAGGAGCTAACAGCCGATTAACAGAGGGAGTCGGAGCGGTTTCCTGGATAGCGAGTTGTGGAAAAACTCCACATTCATATGGAGGGAGACTGCTGTTGAAGTCGGTCCCCACATGCAGTGGTTTCTACTTTATCGACTCCGGAGGGAGAGATGATGGGCTGAGTCAACTCCCAACAAGCCACCTTAGGGCAAAGCTAACGGGTTGGGGTCAAAGCTAACGGGTTGGGGTCAAAGCTAACGGGTTGGGGTCAAAGCTCGGCCTAATAGAGGGGATGGGGTTAGAGGTTTATGATAGAGGGGATGGGGTTAGAGGTTTATGATAGAGGGGATGGGGTTAGAGGTTTATGATAGAGGGGATGGGGTTAGAGGTTTATGATAGAGGGGATGGGGTTAGAGGTTTATGATAGAGGGGATGGGGTTAGAGGTTTATGATAGAGGGGATGGGGTTAGAGGTTTATGATAGAGGGGATGGGGTTAGAGGTTTATGATAGAGGGGATGGGGTTAGAGGTTTATGATAGAGGGGATGGGGTTAGAGGTTTATGATAGAGGGGATGGGGTTAGAGGTTTATGATAGAGGGGATGGGGTTAGAGGTTTATGATAGAGGGGATGGGGTTAGAGGTTTATGATAGAGGGGATGGGGTTAGAGGTTTATGATAGAGGGGATGGGGTTAGAGGTTTATGATAGAGGGGATGGGGTTAGAGGTTTATGATAGAGGGGATGGGGTTAGAGGTTTATGATAGAGGGGATGGGGTTAGAGGTTTATGATAGAGGGGATGGGGTTAGAGGTTTATGATAGAGGGGATGGGGTTAGAGGTTTATGATAGAGGGGATGGGGTTAGAGGTTTATGATAGAGGGGATGGGGTTAGAGGTTTATGATAGAGGGGATGGGGTTAGAGGTTTATGATAGAGGGGATGGGGTTAGGGGTGAAACGTAGAGGTGTAGGGTGGGATTCGAGGGATAGGTGCTTAGCGGTGAAGCTATCTTTCATGGCTAGGAGTGGAGTTTGGTGTATAGGGTTAAGATATGTGTGTGAAGTGTGTTGTGACACGTGTTGTGCATGTGGGATGTGATGCGTGTGATGCGCCTGTGTGCTGTGTTGATGATGTGTGGTGTGACACGTGTGATGCGCCTGTGTGCTGTGTTGATGATGGTGTGACACGTGTGATGCGCCTGTGTGCTGTGTTGATGATGTGTGGTGTGACACGTGTGATGCGCCTGTGTGCTGTGTTGATGATGTGTGGTGTGACACGTGTGATGCGCCTGTGTGCTGTGTTGATGATGTGTGGTGTGACACGTGTGATGTGCCTGTGTGCTGTGTTGATGATGTGTGGTGTGACACGTGTGATGTGCCTGTGTGCTGTGTTGATGATGGTGTGACACGTGTGATGCGCCTGTGTGCTGTGTTGATGATGTGTGGTGTGATACGTGTGATGCGACTGTGTGCTGTGTTGATGATGTGTGGTGTGACACGTGATGTGCCTGTGTGCTGTGTTGATGATGGTGTGACACGTGTGATGCGCCTGTGTGCTGTGTTGATGATGTGTGGTGTGACACGTGTGATGTGCCTGTGTGCTGTGTTGATGATGGTGTGACACGTGTGATGCGCCTGTGTGCTGTGTTGATGATGTGTGGTGTGACACGTGTGATGTGCCTGTGTGCTGTGTTGATGATGGTGTGACACGTGTGATGTGCCTGTGTGCTGTGTTGATGATGTGCGGTGTGACACGTGTGATGCGCCTGTGTGCTGTGTTGATGATGTGTGGTGTGACACGAGTGATGCGCCTGTGTGCTGTGTTGATGATGTGCGGTGTGACACGAGTGATGCGCCTGTGTGCTGTGTTGATGATGTGCGGTGTGACACGTGTGATGCGCCTGTGTGCTGTGTTGATGATGTGCGGTGTGACACGAGTGATGCGCCTGTGTGCTGTGTTGATGATGTGCGGTGTGACACGTGTGATGTGCCTGTGTGCTGTGTTGATGATGTGTGGTGTGACACGTGTGATGTGCCTGTGTGCTGTGTTGATGTGTGGTGTGACACGTGTGATGTGCCTGTGTGCTGTGTTGATGATGTGTGGTGTGACACGTGTGATGTGCCTGTGTGCTGTGTTGATGATGTGTGGTGTGACACGTGTGATGCGCCTGTGTGCTGTGTTGATGATGTGTGGTGTGACACGTGTGATGCGCCTGTGTGCTGGTTCGCAGGGTTGATGTCGACCGAGCGAGCCGATTGCGGTGAGGTGGCTGGCGAGGTCATGCTGCGCTTCCTGTGCCCCGGCGATGTGGACGCCGTGAAGCAGCTGTGCAGCGACTGGTTCCCCATCGAGTGAGGCGCCAGCACCACCCCCACACACAGCCACGGCCCCCCACACTCACGCGCACACGTGTGTGGGAGCGAGTGTGTGGAGCAGTGAGTGGTGGGTGAGTTTGAGGAGTGGTGCATTGTTCCGTGTATGGCACGAGAAACTGAGTTGCGTTTCCCGCTGACGGCTTACATAAGTGGCATGTGGTACATGGACCTGTCTTGGGTCTCTTCTAGGTCGACTAGTAGCTCGCTGTACGTGTGAGCATCGGCATTGGGGAGACAAAGGCGGCTGGGCTCTGGTGGCCACACCACCCCCTCCTGTGCTCTGTTCCCTCTCGGTTCTCACCGTCGGCATTTGGTCCGCCGGGCCGTGTGTACCTTATTATTATTCTTGGGATCTTTCGGTAAAGTCACGTAGATAGGTTCTTTACCAAAAAATCCAAACAATATGGATTCCTGCAGTCACGAAAGCTTTAAGTCAAGATTTTACATTGGTATTGTTACGCTTGTTTCCAGGAGGGTCCTGCCAGGTTTTCGCAGTAGGGGGCGATATTGCTCCTGTGTCCAATCCCAATTCAGTAGTTTGCAAGTATTTTTTTAGCTTTGCGATGCTTGGCCAATATCAGTTACTCTGTGGATTTGTAGCTATGGGAGGAAACTGGAGTATCCGGATGACATGCATGCAGAAGAGGGGGAGAACCCACACACACCTCCAATTACCACGGTTGGCTACGTATGGTGCTAAAGATGTTCAACATACATATGGACACTACAGAACAGGGAAAACATACGAACCTCACGCACACGCACATTTACACTGCGGAACAGGGAGAACATACAAACTCCATACAAACACAGCAAAGATCCTCTATATAGTCTTTAACAGATTGTTCGGACAAGTGCTGTTAGCAGGCACCGATCAAGGCCTGCATCGCTCACGAGGAGGTGGGTGGACAGCACCATGCCTGGTTATCTTTGTCGCCCTATACCTACTATAATCACCCAGGAATGTCTGTCCTTAACGCTCGTGACGTCACTCCATATCGATCAGCCCCCCTCATTAATAATCATGAACAGGTTATGTCCTCCACATGGACCCCCCCTCCCACATTAATAATAATGAGCCGGTGACGTCACTCCACATGGAGCACCCTCCCCCCTCATTCATAATCATCAGCAGGTGACGTCACTCCACATCGAACAGCCCCCCTCATTAATAATCATAAGGTGACGTCCTCCAAATGGACACCCCCCCCCCCATTCATAATAATTAGCGGGTGACGTCACTCCACATAGGGGGCTGAGGTGTCTCCTCCCCCCTCCTCGACGTCAACTTACAACCCTCGCTACAAAGGCAGAACCCTCACGTCACGTGGTCTCCGCTATTGAGACATCAAAGTAAAAAAGGACGTCATGATGAACAAGGGATTATAACCTTAAAATGAAATAGGTCTGTGTCACCGCGCCCTTACTAATTGCACACGCATTGATGCAATGACTATCACGTCGCGGTCTGCTTTTCGCTTGCAAGTTTCAGATTTACTGCAATACACCCGTCCTTGGACGGGCAAAAGGCGAGTTGCTGATGTTTACAGATTGCACCAGGTACTCATTTGAGACTGAGTCGACGATGGGAGGCCCAGGACTTGTTCAGATAATCGTCACTGGTATTGGTCATGAGCGGGAACTGAATTCGGGTCACAGGATTCGAAGCGCAGCGTGCCAACCTCTACGCTACCTCCCGCGCCCTGCCAGGTACCCGCACTCGTGGTACCAAGACATCACATCGAGCGCACGGTTCTTCTCCCTGGCCGCCACCTACGCCGGCACCATCATTGGCATGATCGTCGCTGAGATCAAGCACCGGACTAAGGTGCACCGTGAGGTGGGTCTGTGATGCCTGCGTCCCCGCATGCCAGCTCTTCCCACGGCCTCGGGAGTTTGCGTACCTGTCAAGTCAGCGAATTAATGCTAGCACACGGTGTGCGCGGGCGCCAAACTCTGGCGTTGTCAATGTTATTGTTTTTATTATTTTAATAGTAATAATTAAAGTATGTAAAGTGCATTTCATCCATAGATCCTAATGCGCCGTGTATGGCAAGCAGAAAATAAACAGAACCACTGTTTTACATCCAAAGCTGGGGGGTAAAGGACAATTTAAAGAGGTGAGTTTTGCTTGTTGACCCAGGAAAGTTCACTTCGCTATGAACCCGACAACCCGAGTTCCATTCCCGCTCATGGCCAACATCGGTCTGAACCGGTCTAGGGCCTCCCCTAGGTCGACTTAGCCTTGTGCAGTGTGTGAACCTAACCACTGCGGAGACGAATATGGCCGGGCATGGTGCTCGTCACGCCACCCCTTCTTATTGGCTTTCATATGTGCTCGCGAATCAGCACTTAGTATGAATTACTTTTATGATTCCGTTTGTTTACCAAGGAAAGCCTCGCCGAGACTCAGAACTCTTATGCATGGGGGTCCCGCCAAGTTTTCACAGTGGTGGGTGTTGTTGTTGCTGTGTCTAATCCCAACTGATAAATTGTATTCAGGTATTTTTTCAGCATCGAGATGTTTTGGCCAATACGAATTACATTGTGTGGTTTTTATTTTAAATATGGGCGTAAACTGGAGAACCAGAAGGAAACCCATGCAGGTTGAGGACCTACAAAAAGGCGCTCAAGTGTGGAATGGAACCCAGGCGCTTGTTGCTGTGAGGCACAAGTGTGACCACCCACATCACCCTGATGTTTGATGTGGGTGAATCCGCATGACTCCGTGTTGTCACTGTGGACAGGATGCAGACGTGCTGGCGTCCAGCTTCCCCAGCGACACGCAGGTCACCTACATCCTCAGCCTGGGCGTCGTCAAGGAGTTCCGCAGCCGGGGAATCGGTAACCATGGCAATGAAACACATGTGCAACACACAAAGCCAAAGATCCCCTTATTACCTTAACAGACTGTTGGGGCAAATGGTGTTAGCGAGCACCTATGACGGCTGGCACGGCACACCTATGAGGGGGTGATGTGGCCGGAACCACACCTGAGGGAGAACACAAACTTCTCGCAGAACTGCACACAGAACTGCACCTGGGTCTGGAGTTGAACCCAGGTACCCTTGCTGAGAGTGTTAGCACAGCGCTGCCACCTCCCTGCCGCTTAGTCCCGAGAGCCCGAGCAGTTCACACGGGGGGGAACCGTGTGCGTATGAGGGTACCCATGTGCGTGTGTGACTGCACGCGCGTGTGCGTGACTGCGCCCACAGGCTCACTCTTGCTCGACAGCCTCATGGCTCACATCGAGGCGGCAACGCAGGACCGCTGCAAGGCGGTGTACCTGCACGTACTCACCACCAACGCGCCAGCCATCCGCTTCTACGAGAACCGCAGCTTCCGACAGCACCACTACCTGCCCTGCTACTACTCGATCCGCGGCGTGCTCAAGGACGGCTTCACTTACGTGCTCTACCTCAACGGGGGGCACCCACCCTGGACAATCGTATATCCTTCCCCGCGCCGGCTCTGCGGAGGGGCGAGGGACGGCGGTGCCGCCGCGGTCCCAGGAAGCTCGGCCATGCCGGGATGGCTGTGCCGCGCGGCGGTCCCCGTGGCCCTGTTCCTCGCAGTTTGCTGCGCCCTCCTGGTTGTTCACCGCGGTTACGCGCTGCTGATTTAAGGTTTCGGAAGGGGTCCATTGGTCGCTTTGCATTTGCCCCCAAGGTAAAACTTTTCCTATAAACTCCTCACTGGTGGCAGGGTGGTGGCAGCGCAGCAGTGGCACTCGTGCCTAACAGCAAGCAGTGCCTGGGGTTTATTCCCGATTTGATACATTTTCTGCGTGGTGTTTGGATGTACTGCAGTGTGTGTGTGGCAAGCGGTGGTGCAGTGATTAGTGTACTGCGCTCCGAAGCGAGCGACCAGTGTTCGATTCCTGCTCACAACCAATAACATCGGTCAACATTGGAATGGTTACTGGGTCTTCCTGTGTAGGGTCAACTTGGCCTTAAATGAGTGCCTGGTACGTAGTGTCAACATCAGCACTGGGGAGATATATGCCCAGGCATGGGCCCGGCCACACCACTCCTTGTGCCTTACCGGCCTTTTGAGGGTGCTTTCTTAACTGCACTTGCCCCAGCAGTCTGTTCAAGGCTATTTGGGGGATCTTTGTCTTTTTGTGAGTGTGTGCAGTTTGCATATTCTCCTCCTGTTCTGCATGAGTTGGCTCTGGGTTCTCCGGTTTCCTCCCATAACCAGACCCACACACACAATGTGTCTCTTGGAGGAGAGACCCTCACTGACTCGTGATACGTTTGCCCACCTGTCCATGCTTCTTTGTGCACTTTTAAGCTTTTCGAAAAAATATTGGTCAATGTGCGTATTCCTGATCAGAAGACCAGTTATCTGATGTGATCTCTCCACTGCTGAATGAATGCCTCCCCAAGCCAAAACTTGCGATGCAACAATCCATCTTGCTCCTACGCTATGAGTTACGTTCTTTGCTCCATCTCCGTGGTGAACCTCGCCTTGGATATGTTCCCTCGTTTGGCTGCCATTTTTCGTTGGTGGTCGCCTCATCCCTTCAGTGACGCGTCCTGCCCAAGCACACTTGTGTTTTTTATCAGCTGTATGCTGGCGCTGTTGTGCGTTCTGTGGTCCACGAGTCGCTCCTCCTCCTGTATTTCGTCATTTCCAGCACGAACCGCTCCGTGTTTCCGTGCACACCGCAGCTGCTGTTGCCTTTGCATTGTCCATTATTCTGTTCCATGTCACATCCGGTACTGCACACCGATTAAACTCGTTCTTAATTAGGTACAGTGATCTGCTGCTGCTTTTCCTTCAGTTTTCCTCAAGCGGTCTTCCACCCCCCTTCACCCCCCCCCCCACCTCACTGTCGTTACACCTCTTCATTTGATCGTTTTGATCAGGATCGCCTTCAGTAGCCGCTGCTATTGGATCACTCGCTCGTTTCTGTGTTCCAGTTGTCTCAGACATGTCTCCATTTGTTCAGAGAACTTGCTGTACATGACCTTTGCTCGTATTTATCTAACACTTCTATAAGTAAGTTCTGCAATCACCTCTGGTTCTTTTCTGTCGGTTGCTGCTATGACTCCTCAACATCATTTAAGATGGTAAACATTTTCTTCATAGATATTTACGTTATATTCTCCCCCCTTTACACAAATTAAACCTCTCAGTGAATATATTGAAGATGATATGGACCTGAAGCTCCCCACGTAGAGAAACTGTGCACAAAAATGGAGAACAGAAAAATGTAGGGGCCGACCAACCGCTCTGCTCGTCTTCTCGTTTTCCACCTTCACTTTATAGATGACAAAATAAAGGCCTCTAGCTTGTTACATTACAGAAGCCTCTCTTTAGCTCTCCATCCCCACCGAAACCCTCCATTCTGCTTCACATTGATGGTAAGCGATTCGGATACAACTAGAGTCATTTCCTATACGACAGTTCAGTTGGAAATATAATTCGTCATAATTTAGTAGTATGCCTGAAAGCCCCAATGAGCAAAGAGGCTCCTGCCATGGAGTCGAGTGAGGTTTTTCTGTGAGGTGAGGATGCATGTCAGAAAGGGAGTCGGATGGCGACAGCCGCCTTAATCAGTCTTAACTAGACCCCCCCCTCCCTCATACACATCCCAACGAGCTTCGGCCTTTGAAAGCTGCCCTCTGCTTTAACGGTCCTATAGCCTGAAAGGTCGCCTGTTATATATTTTGATTTTACAGCCACAGTGTTACTGACACAGAATGTATTGTTAATTCCCTTGATGTGTTGCTGTGTGCATGGTGAGACGCATGGCGGGTGGCGCAACGCTGGCTGTCACAATCACACATCTCGGCACTTTCCCGGGTGTATGTGACCGCTGCCATGGCGCTCATTCGTGTGGTTAGTCCTGTGCGCTCCTTGACCACGCTGCACCGACTACATGCAGTATGTGGGTTCGGCGCTGGCAAGCCTCCGGCCCTGCTCGCTACCCCAGAGGCTGCTCCGCCATGCGCAGGGCCTTCTGCGCAGCCTGCTGCCCTGGCGGAGCCTGCCCGACAAGCCTGTCACCGACTACAGCCGCGCCCTGTGACGGATCTCCATGCTGAGGCTACCGTTTCCACGGTGGAGCTCTGCACTGCGCCTGAAAATCAACAACGGCTTGAATTTCCGGACGTATGTTTTTTTGAACGCCCTTTTGGAAACAGTCTGGGTTGCGCTCCCCATCCCCTGGCGGGACGAGTGGAATTTGAGCCTTCGAGCCCTGGTGCGGGTTTCAACCACGAGACGTCACGAGGCGCGAAGGAGGAGGCATGTGACGCCAAAACTAGTTGGGATGTTTAAGACCAGGAGACGAAGGGGACACTGGTGAATGGGGATGCCACCCCTTCAAACATCCTTCACGGGACACTCCACCTTGCCTCACCACCCTGTTTTGCTTCCAAGCCTGACCGTCACCGTGACAAGCGCACAGCTTCACGGTGCTTCCCTACCAGGCATTCTGGCCGGTGTGCGCACACTTCACCGTGTGTCCCACATCGGAGCCAGGAGCGTTGTTGATCGCCGTTGGGACCATGCTATGCGTTTTTAGGACAATGGAGGGAAACGGCTCGAATGCGTGGAGGATGCGGGCGACGCTCGCAGCCTCGCCAGCCTCGCGACGCAACGTTTGCCACCCTTGCATTTAAACCCAGTGTTGGCAGCAGGCATCTTTCACAAGATGAATAATATTGGTCGCAAAAGCCAACGTGTTAAGAAGGCATCTTGCTTGCGAGGACGTTCCCCGTAGGCCATGGCGTGCATGTGGCTTGGTAAGCTGTGCGTTAAGTATTGAATATTTGAATGCCATGTGAGCACCCTTGCCTGCGGTTACTGCATGATCGTTGCAATAAATCATGGCCTGTACATATACAATGCCTGCACATCCACTTGAACCGAAGTGGTAATGATCCGAGTTGTGTTTCCTGGCGTAATGATGCTCCAGTCCGCAGCAAGCTCTGGCCTGCAGTGTTCTCTGACCTGAAGCGGGCTCCAGCCTGCAAAAAGAGTTCGGGCCTGCAGTGGGCCCCGACCTGCAGCAAGCTCCGGCCTGTGGCGAGTCCCGACCTGCGGCGGGCCCTGGCCATCGGCACCTCTGGCCCCTGCACGGGCCTCGGCCTGCAGCCCACTCCGGCCTGCAGCCCGCTCCGGTCTGCAGAGGCCTCTGGCCGTTCATAGCAGTAGGCACGAACGATGCGTTTCACCCTGCTCCAGTTTTTACGGCCGGATCGATTTTATGAACGTGTTATCGTATTTATTAACATAAAGTGCGAACTTTTAGAAGAGACGGCACCATAACCGACTGCATTTCAAACCTGTAACAATATCAATAAATGTTTACAAGCGCCAAGCGAGTGTGAGCACCGCACGATGGGGCGTAAGGGGTCAACCCTGAGGGCTTCGCTCGGTCTACAGCTCTTCAACCCAAAGCCGGCAGCAGGGAGATGGTGGTCGATGGCTATACTTTGTTAAATATATTTATGTTCTCTAACGTTACTCGTGAAATAAATAATGGGAACTTCACATCAAGTGTGGGGCTGGAGAGTGGGAAAGAGGACTAGAGGTTTGATGGAAGACGTCGCCGGGTCCAACCTTTGTGAAAAGACTCCTGGATGTGTTTAACTTCCTTCGCACCGTACGTAGCCAACTGCTCATCGGAGGTGCGAAAGTGTGAATCCCAGGATTAGAGCTGTGGTTCATGGCTCGCGTCTGTATTCAGGGCTGGTGTTGAGGGTGAGTGTCTCGTGTTGAGGGTGAGTGTTGAGGGTGAGTGTCTCGTGTTGAGGGTGAGTGTTGAGGGTGAGTGTCTGGTGTTGTGAGTAGAGGCCCCCGCTAGTCGCACTTCCAGACGCACACGGCTGTGTGGCCGCCGTAGTAGAAGTAGAGCAGGTGGCCCGGCTCGTACACCACCTCCACCGCGTAGGTCTCGCCCACCACCACGTGCCACGTACACCCAAACGTCTTGTCCATGCTCTCCTTGATGATCCTGGCTGCTGCCTGCGTTACGGGCAAGGCGGGGGGGCACAAGGCTGTTTAGAGTCGTGTCTACTGCGGCGCGGGAGCTCACAATGTGCCATCGTGATCGGGAGCTTGCGTCCTCACCATTTGGTCGCTGCTAAACTGCTCGCACGCGTTGAGGCAAAGTTCCACGGCCTGCGTGCGCATCTCATGCGCCATGTCCGAGTACTGCGGGGCACACCACCATCGCCATATCACCCCACAGCACACACACACACACAACATCGACGTGTTCCATATTTATATGAACCCGGTGAAAACTCAGGCCACGAGAGAATACAATTTTGGTATTGCACGAACATAAATGAAGTTCAATAAACTGTAGCGTGAGCTTTGGCAGATTAAGTTTATACCAATGATTCCACAATTGTAATTAGGTTACAGAAACATCGGATTAGAGGCCGACCGAAACTGAATTTCTGGTTTCGGCTGAAACAGAAAGTAAAAAATTGACTTTCGGCCGAAACCGAAACTGCCGAGAGAGGAAATTTGCCAACTTCCGACGTCGAAACCGAATTCCGGCCGGCCTCTATCGGATGCCTTGTAATTACACTCAGATTGTAAATGTGGATTACTCTACAGCGCACCGGTGTACTGCATTAGTAACGAATTGGCATGTTGTTTACGTGACAAACCTTACGAATTGGCTGTCAGGTGATGACGGGTTTAATGACAGTTCAGCGATCTAACCCCAAAAAAACTGGATTGTAATTACGTGTAAATATCGCACCACCTCATTGCTGTTGCACACCATTCCCACCGCCTTTTCAATCTTACCATCAATCACATCGCATCACACATCGCCCATGCACACCCCACCAGCAGCACCACAACAGCAGCAGCAATGCAACTCGTGAAATTAATCATCGGAAGTTCACATCAAGTGCGGGGCTTGCAGGATGGACAAAAGGTTTCATGGAAGAGGTCCGTCAAATCTTTGTTAAAGGGCTCTGGTAGGAAGTGGCACAAGTAGCGGTGACGTCACCACGTCGCTTGTGCCAGGCTAGGTGCACCTTGGACACCGCACCTGCACCAGCGCCTGCGTCTTGAGCCACTTGAAGCTGACGCCGCTTTTGCCCTTCGCGCCCTGCGCCATCGCCTCGTTTCCACAGCAACGCGGGGTGGGGGAGGGAGGGGGGGAGGGGGGGGGGAGGGGGGGGAGGGGTGGGTGGGGGAGGGAGGGGGAGGGGTGGGGGAGGGGGAGGGTGGGGGAGGGGGGTGGGGGAGGGGGGTGGGGGAGGGGGAGGGGTGGGGGAGGGGGCCGGGGTGGGGGAGGGGGCCCCACGCCCCCTGACCACGTGACGCTCGATCCACATTGCATTTGCCAGCATGCATCGGGCGCGCCACGTCGTCCCGCGCCCATCAGGTGTAGGGAATGTGGTCGCCTGGCGGGTCAGGCTCATGTTGGCTGGGGGGCAGCAGCGCTAAGGCCGCGCCGCCGCCCTCCGTCGGGCCGCCGCGCCGCACGCGGAGTATTCCCGTCGGTCGCTGCCACTCGCCTGGCGGAACCGGGGCCTCCCCGCCTCAGGTGCTGCCCGCAGGTACCGCGCGCGACTCCTGAGGCGCGGGGCCGGTGACCCGAGCGGCGGCCGGGGGCCGAGACGGCGGCCGCGGCGATGGCGACGTCCGTCGCGCCCGGGGCCCCGCGGGCGCTGCTGGCCGAGTGCACGGCGGGGGACTCCGCGGCGCTGTTCGAGCGGCACTCGGTGGAGGAGATCCGCGGCGCGGAGCGCGCCGTGCGGGCCGACATCGAGCACAAGAAGGAAGAGCTGCGCGTCATGGTGGGGGAGCGCTACCGCGACCTGATGGAGGCGGCGGACACCATGGCCGGGATGCGCGCCAGCGCCGAGCGGGTGCGCGCGGCCGTGCGGGACATGGGCGCGCACTGCCAGGGCCCGGCGCCGGCGCCGGGCCTGTCCGCAGCAAGCCCCGGCTCGAGTCCCCGCGGAGCGGCCGAGGAGGCGGCAGCGGTGAGCGACGCGCAGGGTGGCGTGGGTCGGATTGCGGGTCGGGTCGCGGTGCTGCTCCATCTTAATGAAGGCCAGAAGATCGACAAGCCGACGGATAAGCGGACAGACTGACAAGTTGACGGACAGACAGGCAGACTGACGTGCTGACGAACAAGCAGACTGACAGGAAAGTGGACAAGCAGCTGTGGAATGCACGTATTTGTTTTGCGTGGATGAGGTGGTCTGGATGGCAGTTCCATCTGCGAATCACGTAGATCGGAGCTGAGCAGTGGGCCAAAGGTCCACATGCCAAGCGAACGTCAACAAACAGCACTATCCAATTTGTAATCGGATTTAACCCAACTCTTGCATTGAGTGAGGTCAATGTAATACCTTGGGAAAAGCTAGAATGGGAGGGAATTCCAAAGTGGGGCAGTGCGAGGAAATAATCAGGAAAGTGAGGTGACCTGGAGTGTGCCGAGTGTATTGTTGTGACCTGCTGCGTGGTGGTTGATCACAGTCTGGTCGACCGAGTTCCTCAACATGGGTCCTCAACACGAGACGGGACTGATGGACATGGCTGTCCCAGGACGGCTTCGTCTCTCCGGTTCGTGTGACGCCGTCAGCACGAGGGGAGGTGCTGGCTACGGAGAACGAGTGTCTGCGTGTTCGCCCGTTCGCAGGAGCGAGGCAGGGGGCGCTTCTTCGCGCTGGCCGCGCAGGTGCGGCTGGTGCTCGGCGTGCCGGAGCGCATCTGGGGCTGGCTGGAGGCCGGCCGCCACCTGGAGGCCGCACGCCTCTGCCTGCTGTGCCGCCACGTGATGGCCTCCCTGGGCGTGGCGGGCAACCCGGGCGGGCCCGCGTGCCCTCCGCTGCTGGCGCGGTTCCCGCTGTTGGCGCGCCAGGCCGCGGCGGCCGCTCACTTCAGGTGATCACTCACGACGCACAGACGAGGAGTCGGACGTACAAGTGGGCAGACAAACTTACAGACGTGGATACAGCTGACAGATACATCGACACACAAGGTAATAGAGAAGCAGACGGACAAGCCGACACACAGACAAGAAGACAGACGGACACGAATAGGAGCGGCGTGAGAAGGAGGCCGTGCGACTCGCGCGTCCTGCACGCGGCCCTTAACCACGCTCCAACTCTTGCCCCACGGCGGCAGGAGCGCCATCCTGCAGGAGAGCCGCGCCGTGCTGCGGGTGCGCGCCGTGGCTGACCAGGCTGTGACGGATGCTCTGTGCGCCGTCATGCTGCTGGAGGAGGCCTCCCCTCGCCAGGCCTTCGCCGACTTCCTCTTGGCGCGCAAGAGCGTGGTACAAGGCCTCCTCAACGAGCCACAACACGGTCAGCACATCCCCAACAGCATTGTTATTATTTTTTTCTCTCAAGTTTTCTGTCCAAGGCAGGTCCATGGCTCATGTTCCCTCTGTGCCATCCTGTTCGAGTCCACCATGCATGGAACCATGTGAGGGCTCTTGAGCAAGAATCTGCATCTCAGGATCTTGAGAGATGGGGATTGTTTGGGGAGGCCTTCATTCAGCTATGAATAGTTAATATCTGCTGATGATAGGTTGCCTTGGCCTTCGTCGATGATGTTGTTTAGATGTGACCATAACCGATATTTTTTTTATTTGTGTTCATTTACACAGGAAAGCCTTGCTGAGTCTCAAGACTTTTATCAGGAGGGTCTTTACATGTGTAATCCCAATTGTGTAATTTGTAGGTAAAATTTCCTGCATTGGGATGTTTGCACAATGTTAAACCGAATGCAGTTCAGGACAAATCGACATCATTGATAGAGTTAAAAATCAGACGACCAGCAATTAGCATCAACATCACGATCACCAACACGCGTGGTCTTGAGTTCAGTTCTCCGTCTCACCTTGGTCCTGCATCTCGCAGCAGCAAGAGAGCCCCCTCTCCATCGTCTGCATGTTTAGCACCGGCTCCCTGTGTCGCTTGCGTGTGTGCAGGGTCGAGCATCAAGGCACAGGTGTGCACTGTCGTGGAGTCCGTGGCCACCACGCTCTACCAGGTCCATGCCGTGTTTTACTCGCCACCCGGGCCGGGCGAGGAGGGTGCGGGGGTGGGGACAGAGATGCAGGATGCACCGTGCGGACTCCTCATCAGCACGCTGGAGTCCCTCGCCTCCGATACGCGTTCTGGTGCGCCTGTCTCAACCCCGCTCCCGCAATGAGCTACTTGAACGGTGCTCAAAGCCTGTTCACAGCCCTTAGCCAGTGGTGGGAATCCTGCTTTCCTATGGCAGGGGCAACTCTCTCCATAGGACAACCATTGTTGGCTTGTCGACAAAGTGGTGCTCATTGTATCAACTCCAAAGAGAAAGATGATGATGGCCCGAGCCCAACCAGGATGTAAACTCACGACCTTGTGATTGCGAGCCCTCTACAGCGGAGCATATACCACCTGGCCACCGCGATGCACCAGGGCGGTTTCATCAGGCAATTATTGTGGGCAATAGTTTTTGCTCCATTTTCAAATCTGGTCAAATGTGATAGCTGCATCCTCCAGTGTATGACTTCCACCCACATCACATGTGTGTATGTGTCTGATTGGCTGGAACGCCGGAGCACAGGCACAGGACAAGGCGTTCTGTTGGACTGGGCCGGGGCGGAGGCGTGGGGACGCCACCTGCCCCCCGATGTCCTGAGCTTCCGCCCAGTGCCGACCATGATGCCTTCGCGCATCTCACTCCAGCACCTTCGCCACTCCCTCCTACACTGGGTCACGCTGTACGAAAACTACGGCCACAGTGCACAGAGACAAAGATAGATCTCGCATGTAGCCATACAGACCGTGTGGACAAGTGCTGTTAGTGAACACCTATTAAGGCCGCCAGAGCCCACAAAGGCGTGGTGTGGCCAGAACTACTCCCGTCCGACGTTATTTCTCCAATGCTGATGTTTACGCATTGCAGTAGGTACTCATTTAAAGTGCAATCGACCTAGGGGAGGCCCAGCATTGGTTTTAGATGGTCACTTTTTAAAATATATGGCCAGGAATTAAACCTGTGCCAAGATGAAAGTGCATGCCCCTCAACGAACCTTGGTAATCGAGTTGCATGCCTCATGCAGGGAATCCAGCGACTGCATAAAATTGCCCCTTAACATCCTTTAAAAACTGACACCGTTGGCACCATTGTATCCGAACCAGTTAGAATTTTCTCCATTACTGCCATGGAAAGTTTCTCAAACGACATGGCCAAATAGTGTCGGGACCAGAGGGCATCTCCGTCGCACTCCAAGGTGTACAGGAATTGGCTCTTACTCCTGGTCACGCAGCTTTACCCAGGCCTGCCCACCATCATGAAGGTCCTCAACTATTCTGGGCAGAGGGTTCCCAACCTCAAAGCATGAAGCATAATATAGAGTATTGGCCTATTTAAAGTATGATAGGCTCTGACCAGGTCAATAAAGCATAGACATAGGTTCAGTTGAACTAACTTACACCTCTGCTATAGCAGATGGACATATGTGCAGCACCTGATACACGCAAGCACACACGTATGAATGTGCACGTGTTACTTACACACACTTGCGTGCGTGTGCCGTGCGGCCAAGCAGGTGCCGCGAAGACGTGTCTCTGGGCGTACGGCGCCTTTTGCCATTCGTGCGCTCCCTGCGCGGTTTGGCCGGAATGCGCGACGCAGTCTGGGAGCTGCTAGCCAGCGAGGGGCTGGCGCGCCGCTGGACACCCATGTGCGCCCACCTTCTGGGGCGCCCGCTGTCCCTGTGGGACGAGTTCCTGCAGCCGCTCTTCATGCAGAGAGTGGAGGTAAGATCGGGCGCCCCCTACCCCTTTGTTCCCCATGCGGCCGGGCGTATGGAGCAGCAAACCGACGTTTCCCAGATGAGATGTCTCATGCCGGGACGTGTGTGCGCATGCATCAGGAGCTTCTCCAAGAGACGCTGGACTCCATCGCGGCCTCCTCCCAGCAGGCCCTGCAGGCTGCCGTTCTCGAGTTAGGGACGCCACGCCACCGCGCCGGGCCCTCGCCCGAGACAGACGCCTCCTCCTATCTGTGGACGGAGTCACCGGGGGACTTGGCCCCCCACGCTGCGTGGGGGGGCGCCCCCGCGCCACCGGCCCTGCCCGCGGCCGCCGCCTCCTCCCAGACCTGCTTGGAAGTGCCCACCTGGGCCGGCCTGACTATG